GGGAGTCCTGTTGGAAAGGCACTTGATCAATGCTGTTTCTGACCGGAACTCTAGTAACGCATCGAGACTATCATTATCCGGAAATGAAATTCATAAGTGGTTATGTGTTTATGTGCTTACGTGGAGTGAATTACAATTGTCCAAGCATTAGGACGCGAGTGTCTAGTTTCGATACAATTATGAATGTGCTAATATCCTTTGTTACTTTTACTAGGATGCCTAGGCGAGGAAGTTGTGATTTCCCTCCTTCCACTCGGAAAGAGTTGCGAAAACAATTTGTGGAGTTACGCCAAGGTACTACACCTTTGGTGCGGTTTGAAAGATGGTTTGCTAACCTGTCAAGGTTTGCTCCAGAATTGGTGGAGACGGAGGAATTGCGTTGTTTCGAGTTTGAGAGTAAGCTGCGCGACGACATCCGTGATAGGACTGCGGGGTCTTGGCATAGAAGTTATAGGGTGCTTGTTGAGGCGGCCGCCCATATAGAGGCTACGGTGCTAGCAATGGGGCAGAGTGGGGAGGAAGCCATCTCGGTGACTCCAGTGACTCAGGGTGTTGGTAGGCCTTTTAAGAGGCAAAGGGGTTTAAACTCGCAGCAGGGAGGTCGGGCTAGAACTACCCTTCCAGTGTCGGATTTGGGTTCGGGAGAAAGTAAACAGAGGGGCGTCATTTGTTTCAGATGTGGTCTGCTGGGCCACAAGGTTTCGGTTTGCCCACAGAGGAAGGGGGCTAGTTTGGCAGTTCGACCAGTAGTAGCACCACCAGAATCTTCTGGTCAGACAAATTTTGGGCCGACCGAACGCACTGTGGGGAGGCAGTTGTTGGGATCCCCACCAGCTCAGACTTTGCACCAGTCGCTTATCCGAGATCCACTTGCTTGCTGGGTTTGTAAGCAGCAGGGTCATTTTAAACGTTCCTGTACCCAGCCGGGGACTTCTTTGGGAGTTTTGCAACCGAGTCGGGTCCAGCCTTATCCAACTGGACAGGACCAATATTGTCTTGGGGAGCAGTCAGGCCAGATCTCGAGGGCCTCAGGAGAGTCGAGTTCACAAGTCCCACTTGGGGAAGTCCGCAGTTGTTCCAGGTGTGGCCAATTGGGGCACATTAGTAGTTCTTGTCCGTAGCTAGTAAGCTCATAGGTTATCTTGTGTTTGGGGATGACCAAATTTTGGCGGTCCAGCGAGGGACGGCAGTGGTGGTAATACCGAGGGGTTGGTTTTGTTTTGACTAATCTGTTTTGTAACTGGTGAATTATCGTTTTGTGGCCATTGGGTTCTAGCGTGTAACCAATGTGTCTTGGGAATGTTGAAACATCTAAACTGTTTGTTTATCTATATATATATATATATATGCTTGGTTTGTTAATTTCCTTGGATTGGGTGGATTGGAGCATTGGGTAGCTTTAAAGTTTTATTGATGTGATAAGTTGTTGTAAGACCATAAAATTTTTGGTAATAATGCATTCTTATGCGTGTGTTTTGGTTTGGGAAAAGTGAGGGCCGTTGAGCCGTGTTTTCAAATTTAGAAGGATCACTGAGGGATGCGTATCTTAACCATAAGTACAAAGGGGCGAGAACAGTTATACTTACCAGTGTTCGAAATTTCACTAGTGTTATCTAATTGACTTTATGCGTGTGAAAGCGATGTTAGCCTACTGTCGCGGGAATTCCTCGAGAGGATGTGAAGTACGAGATTAATACTAGATATAGTATGTAATTAACATGGTGTTTTGCAAGGGCATAGCGCATAATCTTGTTAGGATTAGACTTGTGTCTTCGTGGTAGGTAACGTTGCCGAATTGGCATGTATTATGATTGGTCGTTCGATAGAGGGAGTGTTAGTCCCTATATAAGGGTGTGACTGTTAACATCGGGAGTGGTGCGTTATGAGCAGCTGGTGCTATATCTCGAGTAGTAGCTTATGGACGTTTCCTAAGTTTTTGGACTTCCTTACTTTGATCGAAAGTGATAGGTTTGTACCTTAACACTGGTCAGGTCGGGAGGTGCTGTCGTGAGGATTGATTGGGTGTATAACCCGTAGTTTGGGTGTGAACCGTGAGTCGAGTCACCGTAGTAAGGTCTTTGCGAAGAAAGGTTTGGGGATATTAATGAGCGGGTTGGGGGGGGCTTTTGCTTCTCTGGGAATTTAGAGTAGTGCATCTTTGAAAGCCTTGTCGGCAACGTGCGACAGTGTCGGGATTGGTTCATGGTGGTTGTCTAGCGGTAACATTGGCTAGTGGTGTGGCACGGAGACTGGGTGTCTTGATGGTACTCTCGAGATGAGTGACAAGTAAGATGTAGAGTAACGAGTGGACCCTATGAGTTATTGGGGGATTCGGTGTGAGAGTGAGAGGGCTTGCAAAATAAGGAGGTTTTGCCTAGTACGGTTGAATGTGTTAGATGTGATGGTTTCGAGAGTTGCGCGATGTTGGCAAGACTGTGAGAATGTTCGAGGGAATGTGAGATTTGTAGCTCGAGTTAGTGGGAATGGTACGTGTATGTTGGTTCGTGTTTTGGGCCTTGCTAGTTAGCGAGTCCGTGGTGACCCCTTTGGTTGTATAGGGGTAGTGTTCGTATTGTGATTGGTTATCAATTGTTAGGTGTGGGTTGTGAGTGGATGCTGGCAGCATTCTTTGAAGGAAGAGCAGTTTGTGTTCTAAAGTAATGAGTATAGCGTGGGTCAAAGTGGTCCTTCGTGTTTGGGTTGTTGTGATTGAGGTTGACCATGTCGGTCTTCGGTCAAGGAAGTGAGCAGGCTTGCTAGATAGCCATGGCGGGGGATGGTGATTCCCTTAGACGCAGTGTTGATACGGTTCAATTTTAGGAGATCCGGTGAGATTCCAAAATTTGTGGTTTGTGTAGAGAGCTTCGTGGTTGGGGTTAGTGGTTTGAGAGGCACATTAGTGTGTGGATTACTGAGCGTGGAGTTTATTGAGTTGATTAGTCAGCTTGTCGGCATCGGGTTTTGGGTTGGCATTGGTCACCTTGGGTTTAGTCTCATTTGTTGTAGACTTTGTATGTTGATTAGGGAAAACTGAAACTAATCGAACATTTTTGTCGTTGAACCTGACGGTTGGAATAATACATCTAATATATGTATTGATTGATCATTGTGAATGATTAGCTTTTTATACATTATGTATGTATGATGTTTGGTTTGATATTGATACAGCATTATAATGTGTATCATTTGTGTATTAAAGGGGATATGGTTGAGATGAGATGTGCTCTCATTTGGATGTTGGCCAGGTCCTGAGCCGTATGGGCGGAATGAAATTGCAAAACCATGAATTTCTTATGACTTATGTACTGTTAGTACTGTTGTTATTTCTATTAACTATCATTATAGAAATGTTATATTCTGTGTTGGTTGTGGATAGTACTGTTTTGGAAAGAAATGGAAATCAAAATTTTCCCAGTGTTTGGGCCATCTAAGGGCGTTGTTGAAAAGTTGATTTAATTCTAGGATTTTAAAGAATTCCAGATTAATCTTTTGGGCAAATAGACTGTGGATGACTCTGCGTTTTGGGTAACACCGTGTTTGTGGAAAATGTTTACAAAACTTTTGGGTTTTCACATGGAAAGTGCAAGATTTATTTCGGAATGCTAACATGGAAAATTTAAACATCTTTGAGAAATGTCTCTTGAACCAGAAAATGATTTTCTTTTTATTTATGCAAACGATTTACTTTGATCATGTTGTTGGGAATTATGCATGTGGAGTAGTGACTTAGTTTGGGGTGCTAGTCGGTTGTTGGTGAATTGCTTCGGGAAAGTTTGGTTTTGTTAAGGCTTTCGTACCTAGTGTTGTCGTTTAGAACGTGTTCCCTTGGTTAGTCTCTTCCTTGGTATGACTGAATCGAAGGTTTGTTATGAGAGTAATTTCTTTCCTTGGGGCTTAGGTGTTGAGTGCTCTGTAATCTGTTGGCCTTGTGTTTAGGTGTCTCCTTAATTTCGGGGACGAAATTCTTTAAGGGGGGAGGTTATAGCGATCCCGGTTTTTCCCCTTGGTTGTTTAACTGTAATCCGGACTCGGTTCTGTGGTTGTGTTGTCGTCTTATTCTCGTTTCTATCCTTTACTCTTAGTGTTTGAGTTTTAGGATGTGTTAGGCATGTTTCGAACAGGTGGATTGAGTTTTGGTCTCTAGTGTTGTTGCCCTGAATTTTGGTGTTACGCTCGAGCGGATCATTCTGCGCTCGAGTGGAGTTTGGTTTTTGGTTGTCCGTTCGAGCGGGTCTTATTAAGCTCGAGCGGGGTTTACACACTTCCAGTATTTCGTGGCCCTGCAGAACTTCTGCAGGTGTGTTTTCTACGCTCGAGCGGGTTTCTTGCGCTCGAGCGTGATTGTTGGCGCTCGAGCGGGTGGTTCTTTTTCTGAAAAGTTCTGGGAATTGAAAATCTGCACTCGAGCGGACTGGTTCTTCACGCTCGAGCGGATGTGTTTTGCTTTTGTTTCTTGGCGCTCGAGCGGTCATCCTTACGCTCGAGCGGTACCAGATATTTGTGCTTGACGCTCGAGTGGGTCGTGCGTATATAAGTTATCCGCTGGGTGATTCTAAATCACTTTTCACTTTTCTTTCTCTCTCTTACTTTTCCAAAAAAAGCCATTTTGAGAGTTCCCCTCACTAAAACCCTAACTTCTCTTTTAGGATTGATCTAGTAGGAGTTGTTTTCTCACCTTGGGCCTTTCCAAAAGTTGTGTTGATCGTCGAGGGCTATCTTTTAATCTGAAAATTTCGGGATTTGGAGCATTTCCGTTTCTTCATCTCCTTCGTTGGGACACATCATTCGAGGTAGGGATATCCTACTCCTCCTTATGGATTTTGTCTTTAAATTTTAGCATTTTGATATGTTGGGTGTTGTTGGGTAGATTTGAGAAAGTTTGGGCCTTTTGTGTAATTTTACAAAAATTGGGGTTTTGTTTGGAATAAACCTATATGCAAGTTTGGTAAAAAGGGGAATGAGTTGGATGATGGATTGTGGATGAAAGTGGAACCTTAGAGTTGTTTTGTTAATTATAATTTGCCCTAATTGTTTTAATTACTTAATGTATATAATTGATTAAAGGAAATGAGGAATTGAATTGGAAATGTTGAAATTGGGAACGTATGGGACTAAAGGGTGTAGTTAAATCACTTATTGCTGACCTAATTGAAATGTTGATATACTATCCATTTGTGCATTTATTTCCTGTTTAGAAATAATTGCTCTGGGCTACCAGTGGAGAGTAGTATTGATTGTTATAGGCAATGCATGATGATTAGGCAAACTAAAACTAATCAATCGGATGTGTCATAGAGTATGACGGTTGGTAGAATACATTAAATTTATGTATTGATTGAGTGTATATATGACCAATGTGTTTATATGCATTATGTGTAGACGGTTGATAGAATATATTAACTTTATGTATTGATTGATTATGTATATGATTTTGTGTTTATATGCATTGCTTGTGTATGGGAGGAGATGGGGGATGTACTCCACGGTTTAGGGGAAGATGGGGGATGTACCTCTAAACCGGTTGATGGTTAAGGGAAGATGGGGGATGGACCCAGGGATGCAGCTCATATGCTCTCCCATTGTAGTGATGATATAGCTCATATGCTTATCTGTTGAAGTGTTGATATAGCTCATATGCTTATCTGTTGAAGTGTTGATATAGCTCATATGCTTATCTATTGGAATGTTGATATAGCTCGTATGCTTATCTGTTGAAGTGTTGATATAGCTCATATGCTTATCTATTGGAAATGTTGATATAGCTCATATGCTTATCTGTTGAAGTGTTGATATAGCTCATATGCTAATCTGTTGTAGTGTGATATGGATTATATGCTTATCTATTGAAATGTTTGTTCGATTTGATATAGCACTAAAATGTATATCACCGTCGTTTGTGAAGTATGGAAGTGGCCTATGTGTTATTGGTACAACACCAAAATGTGTATCCACCTTGAATTTCGAAGGTGTTCTAGTGATGAACCATAATCTCATCAAATGTTTTGGCCAAAGTACTGAGCCTTGTTTTCAAATTCAAAGTTGAATAAGAAATGGAAAGTAAATTGTAACATAGACTTGACTGTCATGGAACTGTAATAAGATGTAAATGGAAGTGTAAGTA